GGTTGACCCTAACCCGAGCCACAAACCCGGGCGCAAATAACAGATGAAGGCGAGCGCTAAGTCTAGACAAGAGGAGCGGGGAGGCCAGCATGGTTGCGAGGTCGACTAGTCAAGCCACGAGCTGGTACTACACCAGGAGGCGAGTTCTAGACTCAAGGCCAAGGCCGAACTGGACATGCGGGATGCAAGGCTGAGGCGGGGCTACTGGACACTTGATTCAACACAGGACAGGTGCTCGCGGATCGGTGGCTCGCGGGTCAAATCAGGGTTGATTTTGGGTTTCCGTATCAACTCGAACCCGGCCCAATTTATAAATGGGTCGAAAAACAAAACCTGAATCCAACCCGTTAGGCAAAACTGTTGAACCGAACCTGAAAATTTTCGAGTTGGGACTGGTTCGGATTTCCAGCCGGGTCAATATTTGACACCCCTTGATTGTTCATACTCCATATGATATTAGAATATGGAGCAACCTTATGCTTAATTTATTGTCAGGCTTTGAAGATTATTTAGTATTTGTTGGTTCATGAACTTTCAGATTGTGGCCATTTTATATTGAATGTTGCTTTAAATGTGTATTGTTGGATCCTCTCTATGCTTCATGAAAGAAAATTCTTGAATTGAGGTGAAGTCTTTTTGAACATCATCAAAAGCCTCCCTACAGGGCAAAGAAATTCATGAGATCGAGATGCAATGTACACCAGTCAACAATGCTTTTGTGATGCTTTCACCGCAAGAGATACAAGGGATGACAATATCAGGTTCTAGTAGAAAGAACAGATAAATTTTTAGAGATGATAGAGAAGCAACTCCAAGAAGTAACTTAATTGAAGACTTCCTATGTTTTTATAAGGGTTACCACTAAGGTTCCTACACAAGCTCCCATACAGATAATTATGGTGGATTTGAAAAAAAAGTACTGATCTTTTTTTGGACAACAATTTACGAAAACAATCTTGAATGGTTTGAAAACATTAGCATCCAGGTTAGTCACTATTACCCCCCTACATATCATTAAGAATCTTAACTTATTGCGATGGCCCTTCAAACTGCTTGTGAGATTTCAAGACAATATTCTCTTCCTACACACAATGAAGAGAGAGAGAGAGAGAGAATCTAAACAAAATTGTTCCTGCTACAGCACGTCATGCATCAAAATCTTAAGGTAAAGGATGCCTGAGAGGAGTAGGAGAACCTCCGGTGCGAATATTATCAGCCGAAATTATTAGAGAGAGAAGAGAATCTAAACAAAACTATCCCTACTACAGCACATCATAGATCAAAATCTTAAGGTGGAGGATGCCTGAGAGGTGTAGAAGAACCTCTGATTGGAATATTAGCATCCAAAACTATTGATGTACTTTTTTAATTTATTTTTAAAACACAGATCATAAGTTTTTAAATATTTTTATCATTTAAAAATTCCCTTATGTTATGAATGAAAGAATCTTTTTTTTTTTTACAATAATTCCCTTTTTGCTATTCTTTTTTTCTACTTGCATTATGATAACATCATTAATGTGCAGGTTATAACAATAACATAACGTACAAGGATTACATATTTATGAGTATAATGTCCAAGATAAGAAAGATCCTTAGACCAAAGGTGTGATTATGATGACATGATTAATAATTTTTCGTGCGCTGAGTAAAATTATGATAGCGTTAATGATCCTTAGACGCCTTGATAAACTTTATTACTTGGTGGCGTTATCTGTCTCTTGCATAAGTATTGCATGGCGACCATCTTCCAATAAGAGTTAGAAGAAATAATATTTATTTATTATTACTTACAAAAGATAAAAAAATTGTACCACTCCTAATTTTACTTAATCTAAACTATCATGGATAGGCGCTCAAGATGTGGAGAAAATGAAATGGAGTTGGAGTATGCATTATTGACCCTATCTTAACGACTCTACATAAGAAGAGAGTTGGAGTAAATATAGTAAAGAAAATTCATGTCAAGATGTTACTATTGAACCTTTCGTGGTGATATATATTCCCCTAACCCCCTTTGTTGCAAGTTAGTTACAATCGTACCCTAGATCATCCCCACTCAAGGGAAAAAATGCCCCACTGATTCCCTTTTCATAGAGGAGAGAGCTAAGGCCATGACGACTTCTATAGAACACTCAAAGAAGAAGAAAAAGATTGAGAAGGTGATGAGATCCAAATAAGAGAATATTAAGTTGGTTCTATCTTGTAGTCTTGTTTATAAACTAGGTTTACAACAGTATTTCTAATTATGCTATTGAAATTTCATTAAAGAGCAAGATATATACACAAATATATAAGAACTCAAAATTTGAAAAGAGAATAAATTATGCAAAAAAAAACTACTCAATAATTTACTTTTGGCTTCAAATACAGGTCACTTCATTTCTATGACTTGATCAGAATTGACAACAAATGAACAAAAGCATAAATGGATATAACTTATGCTTTAAAAGCTTTACTATCCTTATTTTAATAAGTCACCCCTTCATAGGCTTTACAAAGAGAATATTTATCTTTCAATCCTTAACTTTATTCTCAAAATTGAAAATTTTGATGTAATTGGAGGAGAATAAAATATAACAATCTTAAAAAGTTGTGAGAGTAAACATATGCATTAAGAAATCAATTTTTCACCTTGCCTTACCCTCAACGAATAAAAATGATGAATGAGACTATGCTAACAAAATAATTTCCAAATTTATTATGCAAAGGCATCCCAACGCCTCAAAATAGAAATATTCTGAATCAAATTGAATGACAAAACCTAACTCTCAACCTACTAAGTAACTTCTTCAAGAAGATTCAATAAAATTTCTCTTTAAGATGTCCTATGCCTTCATTCCATTAGTCTATTGACACATATCACTAGCGATGACGATCATGCGTGTCTCATCATGATCACGCCTTCAATTGTATGACTCATCACGATCACGCCTTCAATTGTATGACTCATTGCGATTTGTAAATTTCCGTAAAATAACAATATCGTCTCAAATCTCAATCAACTGAGATGGTTGTTGGCTAACTCAATCAAGTTTCATTGAATTCTATTTATAGCTACTAATACAATTATAATGTGAAATAAGAATTTGATGTGTGCGTGAATTTGCATTTAATTCGCTCAAAAAATCCTCCCCAAAAAAGGAGCTTATTTTGATGTTTATAATAATCACGAAGGTATGTGCTTTGCCTCTTACCACATTTTAGGAAATCTATTTCTTAATAAGACAGAACTTGTGTTAAAAATGTATTAATAATAATTTTAAATGCATATTGCTAAATTTATTTTATGATAAACTTAATATTAAGCTTAATTTAATGTTAAATATGTTATGAAATGAGTTGATTATTATACATGTATAATGTATAAATCAAGTTATTTCTCATATTATGGTTGTGATGGAGCACTAGACAGAGGCAGCAGACAGGGGTTCCTTGCTCTCAGTATGGTATTTGATCAGGTAATCTTCTGAGGCAATCAGTGAAGGAACTATGAATGCAATGTAAGATTATATTTCTCCTCTCTATTTTTAGTTTTCTCTTTACTCTTCTGTGAATTCAACTAGCTCATATTCTACATGGTATCAAAGCCTCCAGCTTCATTGCATTATTACAACTTCTCTTATTCTCCATGGAAGATTCCAACAGCTCTTCTACTCATATTCCAGTAACCTCAAACTCCTAAATCATGGCCGACATCACCATACGTTCTTATCTCAAATTTTTCTAATGTCTAATCAAACACATTCTAAAGACTCAACTTAACAATGATAATTACCTTGTTTGGAAATTTAATATCGTCAAAATGTCTGCTGCCAATGGTTTTGATAGCTTTCTCCCTAGTTCTCAGGCCTCTCCCCTAAAAAAAATACTCTCTCCTACTTGTGACGTTACACCCAAACCAAGCTATAATACATGGCAACTACTTGATCACAATTTAGCTTCAGTCCTATTCTCCACTATATCTCCACTACTTTCCTGCATCCTCAATCCACATTCCACACGCCTCTTATGAAATCTGGGCCACCCTTGAGAAACGTCTCCAACCCACGAATTGTTCTAGAATAATTCAACTAAAATGAACTTCATCACATCATCATGAAAGATCTTACTATGCTTTGGTAGACAACATTGTATTTGCCGGTTCCCACATTGATTCTGAAGATATCATACTATACATTCTCAATAAATTGCTTCATTCTTATTAAGTCTTCAAAGCTATAATCCACACCAAACTTGGCCCTATTGGGCTTGACGATCTGTACTCACTCTTATGCAGTGAAGATATCAATAACCAAAATGATCAATCCAAGGAACCATCTTACAAAAATGAACCCATTGCTCTCGCTGCCTCCCGTGGATGCTCATGCTGCTTTGGATGAGGCCACAGTTCAACTACTTCATTGCTTAACTACTGAGGAAACAACACATCTCATTGTGGTACTTGTTGGCCACACCTATGCCTATGTGGCTATATCAAATCTGGGGAAAAGTGGGACATTCGTTTACCAGTGAAAGAATAAACAAAGAGAAAGGAATTCACCCATTTTGAGCTAGTTTATTTTGAATAAAAATGCAACTTTCAATGTTTTACAAATACAGTAGCAATTTACTTTACATTTATTTTATTCCATACCAAATTAAAAATAAATAAATAAATAAAACTCTTGCCACCCTTTTATTTCATACTCAGTATTTTCAACCAAACAACTCCCAAATCCCTAAGAAAAGTTTTCTAGAGCACCTAATAAAGTGCTGCAACTGCCTGCTACTCTAACAAAAGGTAATAAGTATCATGCTCTCAAGCATCAATGTGTTTATGCTATATTAAGCTTAGTGGTTTGTTTACAAGATTAAGTAAATTTTTGGGAACTTAAACATGGAAGCATAAGCTCAGAAATGCTAAACTTCTACAATCACACAGATACAAATGAAGAAAACTGATAGCTCAGTGAATCCAATTGGTTGAACAAGCAAATTTTACATGTGAAAGCATTCAATAGCAAAGCAACTATTTGCAAGTTATATTCAAAGCACAAAATAAAGAACTTTCATTAGCTTTTAGCTCTAATACATGGTTGAAAAGAACCAAAAAGGGAATAAGAAAGCTAAAATGGGGGAAAGGCACAAGCTAAGCTAAACAAGACTTTACCATCCTAGAAAGTGCACATAGCTTTCACACAGTTCACTCTTCTAGATCATTATATTAGGCATTTGGCCGGAAAACTTACAGAACCAGCAGAAGAAGCAACCAAACTGTGACTTATAATGCCTTCAACAGTATACGAATTTTCCTCATGCAAATTGGCCTCCCTTTGCAATTTTAACTCCCGCGGCATCCACGGGCAATGCCGTCCACGCAATTTGGTTCCTTGACTCAGCCCTCCATCTCAATATCAACATAAACCCGACAACCGACAGCATCACAAAAGCGGACCAACAAATCAGCGAACGGACAACTCCACTGAAGAATCCTCTTGAACTGTGTAAAAGCAAAGAAAATGGAAGCTCGCCATCCAAGCTACCGACAGTGTTGTTAAGTTTCATAATTTCCAGCCCATTCAGCAACCCATCAACCCTGGACTGGCCAGCAAACCCGGAAGGGCCAACGCTCACAAACAGAATGTCTGAACTCCCCATATCAGCAACAAAGTCCACATAGTAGGGAGAAGCCAAAACTTCACCAGTTGCCGAGGAGATATCAAAATTTTCATACGCAAGATAACCATTAATGTACACATTAAGATACAGCTCATTAAGAGCCAAGCTAGCAATATCACAGAAGTGCATCCGAATGAGGTATTTATATCCATGATCCACAGGGAATTTCCATGTCATTCTAGAACTTACCTCAGAAGAATTAACAACATCTATAATCCTTGCAGTGTTATACACACTATCAGGTGCTACTTCACGGCTGGCGCTATACTTCCGATACATAATCCTACCACTAAAAGATACGATTTTGGTAACAAAATCCGAATGGAAGAATTCATTATCAGGAACCCATGTCCTCCACAGAGTATCATTAAACGGTGTCACCTTCGGACCACCAACATTAATCCGAAACAGGGTTTCCATCACCTGCTTCGATAACCCATCAAAGCTCAAAACTTGATCAGTTTGAACCAGCCTCGCCTTATCTTCTACAAGGTCTACCGGCGCAGAGATGACCTCGATGGCGTTCACAAAGGCAAAAGAGGATGAATCCACAGGCACGAAGAAGATCACGAGCTTTTCCCTATCCACCCTCAACATGAACTCCTTCAACGGAGAATCAGAAGAAGCGGTAAAATTGCATAACAGAACGAAGCCGGAGGCCAAGACGTGGAATCGAGCGAAGGCGAGGTTGTGGCTACCCGAGGAGAAGGGGTAAAAATGAAGGCGGATGATATGTATGCCCTTGCTTCTGATGTCGAACTCGTAAGAAGAAGGAGCGGTAAAAATCCTAGCTGATTGGTAAACAGAGGCGTATGAGTTGGATTGTAAAAAGGTATTAGCATCGGCGGAGATGGAGATTTTTGGATTACTGGAAATGAGGTAAGTGGCGTCGGGGAGGAAGATGCGATGGTCGTGGAGCGTGATTGGGGAGATGGATCCGCAGGAGATGAGGTGGTTGTCAGGAGGAGAGAATAGAGCGGAGGAGCGGAAGAAAAGGGCGAGCAACTGGATGATGATGTTGAGTTGAAGAAGTCTAGGGTTTGGACGATCGGCCATGTTACAGAATTATGATGGCGGGTTAGGTTCGAAAGGGCTGGAGATTGTAACTGGAGCGAAGTAAGAAACGTTGAAGATGGATGGATGCTGGAGAAACGACGATGACGGGAAGACGAGTAGTCGCCAACTAGGGGCAATTGACGAGGTGGGGAAGACGCGTTATTTGTGCTTTGTGGATACAGCGAGGATATTGAGCCCACTATTTGCATTTTAATTTGGATTGACAAACAGTTTTCAAACGTGACATGCTTATAGTCGAATCGAGCGGCTTGATGAGACAAATCTAACGAGCCTAAGATCGCAGAATTCCAACATCATTAAGACCTTCAAATATCTAACGAACTGTCCAATATAAAGGGATTCAACATCGACTATCCATGCAAACCACTCCCCATTTTCCCTTGATCATCCTCCTATTTACGGGTCATGCAACTCTAGGAAATCTATAAATAGACCCCACCTCCTCTTAAAAAGGGGCTCGAAGCAAGAAAGCAAGAGAGAGATCGGAGATCGCTCTTGCCTCATCGACCACCGCCTTAGTTCCAGCGGGCCATCACTTGAGGCCTTGACTTCTGTCGGACTACCACCTGAGGCCCGGACTTCTGTCTGACCACCACTTGAGGCCCCGACTTCTGTCGGACCACCACCTGAGACCCGAACTTTTGCTCGACCACCATCTGAGGCTCAGACTTATACCTGACCACCACCTAACACCCAGACTTCCGCCGGACCACCACATGAGGCCCGGACTTTCGCTTGACCACCACCTGACCCCCGAACTTTCGCCGGACAATGACCTAAGGCCCGAACTTTCGTCCAACCACCACCTGACACGCGAACTTCCACCCGACCACCACCTGACGTCCGGACTTCCGTCGGACCACCACCTGAGGCCCAGACTTCCGTCGGACCACCACCTGAGGCCCGGACTTTCGTCGGACCACCACCTAAGGCCCGGACTTCTACCGGACGACCACGTGAGGCCCGAACTTCTACCGGACCACCACCTGATGCCCGGACTTCCGCCGTACCACCACTTGACTCCCAGACTTCCGCCTGACCACCACCTGAGGCCCGGACTTTATCGGACCACTACTTGATGCCCGAACTTTCGTCGGACCACCACTTGAGGCATGTACTTTTGCCGGACCAGCACTTGACGCTCAGACTTCTACCGGACCACAACTTGAGGCTCAGACTACTGTCGGACCACCACCTGAGGCTCAGACTTCTGTCGGGCCACCACCTGATGCCAGAGTTCTACCAGAGTATCGTTCTACTACAACGATCTTTTTGACAATGATCTCCTGCCAAATATGGTCTTTTAGAATCCTATCTCCTGCCGACTATGGTCCTTCTGACCTCCTGCATATTACGGTCCTTCCGACCTACATCTCTAGACAACGATCTTTCTGACCTCGGTCTCCTGCATACTATGGTCGTTCCAACCTACATCGCCAGACAATGGTCTTTCTTACCCCAGTCTCCTGCCTATTATAGTCTTTCCGACCTCTATCATATCAACTATGGTTTTGTCGACCAAACAAACATATCTATATTGATTATTGTAACCCCCACAATTTAATGTGCTCTATATGATCTACATTTGTGACATCAAGCTAAGGCCTTCTCCCTAAAAAGAGTCTCATTTGTAATTGACTGTAAATTCTAGTGGATTCATTCAAACTTGGCCAGGCCCCCGTGTTTTTCCCCCTTTTAAGGGGTTTCCACGTAAAAACTCTAATGTCTCTTATGAACGCTACACTATCTCTTATATGCTTGTGTGCTGGATCTTCGTACAATGCTAAGACTCTAAATTTTATATTTCTCTACCGCCGTGAATACTCTAGACGCAACAGTAACTATTTAATAATTATTAGAGAAAATTGACTTTGCATCATTGCATGCCTTATAATAATAATATTTATTATATTTTTATTTAGAAAAAAATGATCAAAATTTTATTTTGAATATAAATGCTGTTAATGGTCTTTAAGCTCATGAGATTAGGTTGTTGTAAAACTTAGCAATGATGATCTCTACCTTATAAGTTATAAAAATGTTATATTCAAGATTTAGAATAATATGATTTTGATTATTCATCTTTCAATGTGTTTTTAGGTTATGATATGTAAAAGGCCATAGTAAAATCTTAGATTCAAAAGTAAACAATTTCATGTATCATGTATGAAGTCATTCACTTATGTTATTCTCTTTTACATGCATATATTCCAATTAATCTTACATATAGAGGGGTATTATACTGTGTGGGTTACTTATAGAGCTTGGATATGACAGATAAAACTATCACACAGTTTGAAACTTTTGATTTTCTTGTAAAAGTTGAGAAATCTCTTTTGAGGCAACCTTTTAATGATTTTGAATTGTAATTCTCTAGTTCTTTACAGTGGCTTAAGAGACGAAAAAAATCTATTGAGAATAGAGAATAAAAGTGACGACATATCTAGTGTGATGTCTAAAAAGTATATCATGTTTTTTCTTTTACTTCTCTTAAATTTTGGCTCACTTAGAAAAATACTCATTAGTGAGAGAAATGTTGAAGACAGGTGGAGAGGAGAATTCAGGAAGGAAAGAAAACAGAGAAGAGGCAAAGATGAATTGTAATCTCATTATCTCAGGACATACATAAGTTTAATATATATAAGCGGTACAGCTTGGTAAGAAGAGTAAATACGTAATGGTAAATATGAATATAGCCGTTAGTGATTATATCGTCCCTCAAATTAGGCATTCGATGAACGAATGTTTAATTTGCTACAAAGATCGGTGAACCAAGCTGTAGTGAACGGCTTAGTGAGAATGTCTGCTATTTGATTGTTAGAAGAGATGTGTACAAGCCGGAGATCGCCGGAGTTGATTTGCTGCCGAATGAAATGATAGTCGATCTCGATGTGCTTCGTTCTGGCATGGAAAACAGGGTTCTTAGCTATTGCAATGGCGGAGGTGTTATCGCAGTGTATGACATTAGGAGATCGTTGCGGGATGTGAAGCTCGGTCGCCAGGCGACGGAGCCAAATGACCTCCGACGCTGCTGCAGACAACGACCTGTACTCGGCCTCTGTTGAGGATTTCGCGACCGTTGCTTGCTTTTTGACAGTCCAGGATATGAGATTTGGACCGAAGAAGGTACAAAATCCAGAGATGGACTTTCAGTCGGTAGAATCGGACGCCCAGTCCGCATCCGAGTCGGAGTGAAGTTCGAGGCTCCCTATGGTGATGGGTAGACCATAGTAGAGAGTGCCCTTGATATATAGAAGCAGGCGAGTGAGAGCACGGAAGTCTTGATCCGTCGGACTTTGCATGTGCTAGCATACCCGATTGGTGGCGTAGGCTATGTCCGGACGAGTGATTTATAGGTACTGTAACAAGCCGGCGAGGCGACGGTATAAGGAAGGATCGTGAAAGGGAGCGGTGTTCGGCTCTTGCTGTTTAGGGGGCGGTGTGATCGGAGTCGGGGCTGGTTTGCAATTCGCGTAGCCTGCATCGTTGAGGAGTTTAGTAGCATAATGTTTTTGCAAGAAAAAGTATCCGGTTTTAGATTGAATTACATGGATTCCAAGAAAGAGTGAGATGTGGCCTAGTTGTTTGAGGGCGAATTGTGATTGTAGTTGTTGTAGAAGTTTTTGAATGGCGGCGGGGTCGTTGCCTGTTACGAGAAAGTCATCAACATAAATAAGGATGTAGAGTTGAGTTTTTACCGTGTTTAGGAGGAGAAGGGACGGATCTGATCGGCTGAAAGTGAAGCCTTGCGATTGAAGAAAGCTTGTGAGTTTCTGGAACCATTGCCGGGGAGCCTGTTTTAGACCATATAGAGATTTGTGGAGCTTGCAAACCGTTGTAGGATGTTTTTGATCAATGAAGCCTGGGGGCTGACGCATGTAAATGTCATCGGGTAGATCGTCATGCAGGAAGGCATTAGAGATGTCGAGTTGGTACATGGGCCAGTTGCAGTGAAGGGCAACAGTGAGAAGTAATCAGATCGTTGGCATTTTGGCAACGGGACTGAATGTCTCAGTGTAATTGACGCCGAACTTCTGATCATAACCGAGGGCAACCAATCTTGCTTTGTAACGATCAACTTGTCCATTGGGTAGCATTTTGGTCTTAAAAGTCCACTTACATCCTAGAACAGGCTTGTTTGGCGGCGGGGGAACTAATGTCCAGGTTGCTTGATGTATAAGAGCCTTAAATTCGGTGTTCATGGCCTTCTTCCAGTGATCTATTTTCTTTGTTTGATTGTAGGTAGTGGGGTTGGAGGGGGTGGTGGTTTGGGTGAGAAGATTTAGAAATTGTTTGGGTTTATGAATACCGGATTTAGAGCAAGTCTGCATCGGGTGAGTAAGGCGAGGGACAGGAGTTGGTTGCTGAGATGGGTTTAAGGAAAGAGGTTCATGATGTGCGTCATTAGGCTCCGCGTGAGATAGGATCCGCGGTGTGTTTGTAGTCGTTGGAGGTAAGGGTATAATTGGATCAATTTTGGGATCCTGGGAAGTGTTTATTGCCGAAGTGGGTATAAGGAGAGAGGGCGGGATGCTGTGGTTATTGGGAGTAGAAGAGGTAGGCAATTCTGTGTTGGTATGTTTATAGGGAAAGTGCTGTTCGTGAAAGACAACATGACGTGATATATGGGTTTTGCCTGTGAGGAGATTGTAGCATTTGTAGCCTTTGTAAATTGGTGAGTAGCCCAGAAAAATGCAGGCTGCAGATCTGAGCGAGAGTTTATCCGTGGCGTAAGGACGAAGCCAAGGATAACAAAGACAGCCGAACGTGCGAAGGTGATTGTAGACAGGAGGATTGCCGTGGAGTCGTTGAGTGGGAATTTGATTAGAGATGGCTTTGGAGGGGAGCAAGTTAATGAGGTAATGTGCGGTAGAAATGGCTTCAGCCCAGATTTTGTGAGGTAGGCCGGATTCGTGGAGAAGGGCACGGGTGTGATCAAGGAGGTGACGGTGCTTGCGTTCGGCAAGACCGTTTTGCTCCAGAGTTTGGGGACAAGATAGTTGCTGAAGAATGTCGTTTTCTTGTAAGAAAGATCTGAACGCATGACTAGTATATTCGCCGCCGCCGTCGGATCTCAGAATTTTAGGAGTTTTCTGATATTGGGTTCGCGCCATTTTGTAAAAAGATTTAAAGATTGGAAGAGCTTCTTGTTTTGAGTGTAAAAAATATAACCAAGAGAAGCGGGTATAGTCATCTATGAAGATGATGTAATAGCGATAACTGTCAATAGAATTTTGTGGAGCTGGACCCCAAAGATCTGTGTGGATTAAATCAAATGGAGCAACAGTAGAATAAATGCTTTTATTAAAGACGATCTTGTGGCTTTTAGCCAGATTACAAGAGTCACAAATAAAAGAAAAATTTACAGGAGCTAAATTTGGAAATTGACGCGAGTGCCATTGGTGAGTGGAGGAGATAGTGGACGTGAGAGCAGCGTGACTGGTCTCAGGCAGGATGCGAATGCGGTAAAGGCCGTTATGGAGTTGTCCAAGAAGAAGAGGACGGTGGTCCCGAAGATCCTTCATAATGAAGCCATTAGCATCGAAGGTTATGGAAATAGAATTATCAGTTGTGAGCTTAGATACCGAAAGAAGATTGTGAGTTAAAGAGGGAACATGCAAAAGATTGTGAAGATGAAGCTTACGAGTGGTGTCCGGCAGAGGAAGAAGACCCTGACCGGCATTATGAATTAGAAGCGTGGAACCGTTGGCGGTGGAGACCGTGTCCGATCCTTGGTAAGTCGTCGGATAATAAAGTTGGGAGGCATCCCGAGTGAGATGCGCGGACGCACCTGAATCAAGAACCCAGTCGTGGGTGGTGGCAGTGTTCTGATTCGGAAGAAGAGCCCGGGGAGGACGAGTATCAGTAGGTGCGTATTTGGGGTTATTCCGGTGCCAGCAATTTAGCGCAATATGGCCAATTTTGCCACAAATTTGACATGCTAGTCTGGCAGGATTCTGATTAGGAGGCTGATTGTAAGTGTAAGCCGGAGGATTAGGAGTGGACTGGGAGTTCTTGGACTTGCCGAAGCGTTTGTTGTTGGTGTTGTTGCGAGAGCGGGAGTTGGTGTTAGGCGAAGCATAGAGGGCAGTACCAGTGGCAGAGAGTGATTGATCTTGGTTGAGTTCTTGCTGAATGTGGATGTCTTCGTTGCACAGAAGTGAGTAAAAGGTGTCAATATCAATTGGAAGCAAGGAATTGCGGATGGTGGATTTGAAAGAATTAAAAGTGGGAGGGAGTCCGTTCATGATATGAAGCATGATATCTTCGGGGTCAATATGAGAACCGGAGGCAGTGATATTGTCCACAATGGTTTTGATGCGGATGAGGTACTGGTGAATGGGTAGATCTTTCATTTGAATGCGATATAACTCGTTCTTGAGTTGAATAACCCGAGAACGGCTGGTGAGTTGGAGGCGACGTTCAAGAACGATCCAAGCGTCATGAGTGGTGGTGGAGGTGATGATATAAGGTAAAATCAACTGCGAGATGGTGGAGAAAAGAGCGGAGAGAAGATTACTGTCAATTAGAGTCCATTGAGCGTGAGCAGCATAGGAGGAGTTGGTAGGGGCAGTGATCGCTCCGGTGAGATATCCGGCGTAACCATTAGCCGTGAATTGCTGGAGAAGTTGAACGCGCCAGATTGGGTAGTTCTCCGTTGTAAGAAGGTGAGGAGCTAAATTCTTTATGTTAGAGACAAGAAACTTCAAAGGAGGAGGAATGTGACTTGCCGCAGTGGAGGAGGTGGAGGTCTGGTCGGATTGGGAGGAAGAGAAAAGAACAGTAGTAGATTCTTGATTTTGATCTCCCATTTAGGCAACTGATACCATGAGAGAAATGTTGAAGACAGTCGGAGAGGAGAATTCAGGAATGAAAGAAAACAGAGAAGAGGCAAAGATGAATTGTAATCTCATTATCTCAAGACATACAGAAGTTTAATATATATAAGCGGTACAGCTTGGTAAGAAGAGTAAATACGTAATGGTAAATATGAATATAGCCGTTAATGCTTATAATTAGTTGTAACTACAAATCTATAGCCTCCAAAGTATGGGAGGTCAAAAGACATATAATGTTAGTTCCCCAATACTCAAAGGTCATGATGCCATTGTAGAATGAAAGTTTTTTTTGGTAATTGATAAACTATTGGACTTATGATTTAACATTTAATGTACTATTTGTTTTTTGCATTCTTGAGTGATCTATAGTAAAAAATATTCAAATATTTTATCTTCAATTTCAGCTTTGGGTCAAATTGATGGGATCCATATGAACCATCATCAATCTCTCCCATGGCCTTGTGGGCTTTGTCCCTTCCAAGGTAATATAGCCACGTATAGTCGAATGAGTCATGGTTCATTTTTTTTATTAATAATAACAAATGATAATGTCTTTTTTGGGAGTAAAATTACTATATTTTATGTATTCAATAATAATCTCTTGCTAATCATCCTCATGATCACCATATGACACTTCACTTAATTGGTGTCATTAAGATTTCATTTGAGATAATTTTTTTACTGCTTTTTGAATTAGCTTTCTAGTTTAAAAAATTTTGTACTAAAAAACTACTTTAAAAATACTGCAGAAGTTGTCTCAAAAATTCATTTTTCAAAATATTATTTCAATTATAAATTTGCTGAAGAGGGAGTTTGGATGGCCCAGTCAAAGTCTTAAATTTTTTTTATTTACCATTTGCATCAATATCCTTATTTAATTAAATATATTTTTTAATTGATGTGTTAAAGATAAATAATAGCCTACAAAACATTGAATTTATATGTGTGTATGAATAACTCATCTTATAATTCTCTACTGATATAAATAAATCAAACCCGATCGCGCATGAGATCGTAAACTTTGATGTGTTTGGGACAGCTTTCTCACTATTTTATTTATCATAACACAATCATAATTTTTGTTTTGTCACTGTATTTTCATTGCTTTCAATAAAATTCTTATGCTATGAAACTACTTTTTATAGCAGCTTTCAAAAAAGTTCCTTTCTCCATTATAGCTCTACAACAACCTTTATAAAAAATCACAACTGGCCCAAATGAACTCTAAGGCTTCATTTGAGAGAGCTTGCTAACTGTTTTGTAAAGTTATTGTAGAGAAAATAATTATTTTCAAGTTGTTGTAAAAATCAACTTCCTAATATAAAAATTATTTGAAAACAGCAAAAATTAGTGATCAAATAAATATTGTGGTTGTGAAATGAAAAACAAAGCAACAATAAAGTTATCCCAAATAAAACATAAGACTTTTGCAAAGTACCTTTATCATGAAATGAGATAATATTTATGATTATTTAAAAACTATTACTTATTAATTTTTTTATTAATTTGATTGTTGAACTGTTAAGCATTTATATAACACCGAAAATATTATTAATATTTATTTTTTTTTAATATAAAATATAATTTTTATGTATTTTAATGCAATTGAAATAGTAAAAATATTATATTAATAAATATTTAATTTAAATATTAGACATATTAATACATAAGACTTGATATATCATCAAAATATATCTTGATCAGGCACGAATCTCGAGGCAAAATTATGTTGGAAGTTTCTAAAATTAAATATGGGACCATCTGAACTCTGATTTTAGCAAACTTATAGTCGAATTGAGCGTCTCAAAAAATACAAACCCAACGACACCAAATTCAACTCAATCCGAGCACAAATTGGTCTAAATCAAAGACCCGAAGCGTTGTTGGAAGGTTCAAACCACAATTTGGATTACAAACGGTTTCCAAACATGACATGCCTATAGTCGTTAGAGCGGCTCAACGAGACGAATCCAACAAGCCCAAGATTGTCGAATTTTGATATCATTAAGACCTTCAAATGTCTGACGAATAGTCTATGATCAAGTGATTCAATATCGTCCATCCATCCAAACCACTCCACATTTGCTCTTGATCCTCCTTCTATTTTTTGTGTCATGTCACTCTAAAAAAATTATAAATAGTCTATCATTTCTTTTAAAAAGGGACCCAAGTAATAAGAAGAGAATAGAAGAAAAGAAAAAGGGAAGAAGCTCCTCCTCAACCACCATCGGAGTTCTGCCCGACTTTTAAGTGTCGCCGGAGTTCCGTCCGACTTTTAAGTGATGTCGGAGTTCTGCCCGACTTTCAAGTGACGCCGGAGTTGCGCCCGACTTTCAAGTGACGCCGGAGTTCCGCCCGACTTTCAAGTGACGCCGGAATTTTGTCCGATCTCCAAGTAATGCCAAAATTCCATCCAATCTCCAAGTGACATCGGAATTATATCCGATCTCCAAGTGACTCTAGGATTCCGTCCGACCACCAAACATCGTAGAATTTCAAATTCATATTTATAAATGAGTTTCAACCTAGGATTTGATTATTATAATCTGATCATCCTAAATTTTAAGGACAATTCAGTTTATTGTAACTCAAGCAAACAGTAGTATAATTCTTTCAATTGGGCGTGGCAGCGTCAATTTTTTTCCTTTTCAGGGCTTCCACGTAAAAATCCTAGTGTTTTATTTCTCTTCTGTTTGTGTGTTGGATATCCGTTCAACGCTGAGATAAAAATTTTAACTCTATCGCTGTGTATATTTTTGCCCGCAACCAAACTTATGAGATATGTACATAAATCCCCTAAAAATTAATTAATTAGGTATTTGTTATACACATTCAAAATTAATTCAAAAACTTAGGGGACCTAAATTTTCTCCACGTGTGCCTTTAGCCTTTGTTTACTCCTGCCCAGCAACCCTTCCATCACAACTCTCTTCTTATACTCCTCCGAGTCCACGTCAGCATAGCCGGCGCCGGCCATCTTCCCCACTTCTACCTCAGCCACCACTGGCTCTCGGAGAATCGCCGCCAGGTAAAAGCATGCACACAGGCTGACGACAGCGGCGGCGCGGCCATAAAAAACCATAACGACAATCGTCACTCCAATAACCGTCAGCCCGGCCTTTGAGTCAAGCTTCCTGGCCCATTCCGATCGGGCCTGGGTGCTGACCCGAAAAGGAGTAGCTGCTAGTTGCTCCGGCTCGGGTAGGCCGCTCGTTAGGCGGTTGGATACCGGTTCGGTTCGGAGGTTCGAGGATTCAGGCCGGGTTTGTGCATCGTACTTTGGCGTCAGCAGTGGAAGGCGCGTTAGGTAGGGTTCCTTGTTGACCTGGCCGACGGCGGCGGCGGAAAATATTGTCGGCTCCTGCGGCGCCGGTGGCACGCTTCGGCTGCTATAGATTTTTACCTGGAAGTACGAAGGGAGACGAGGATAATGTTGAATGTAAATGGAACTTCTTTGGCGCATTTTTTAAAAATAAATTCCATATTTGTTAATCGTTAAAAAATAAATTTAAATTACTAATGCATCATTTTTTTTTATTTGACTACTAAAAAAAATAAATTTAAAATTGTTCAAAATTTTATCAAATATTCACAATTATTCTTATTTATCTTGACTCCCATTGAGCAAGTCATCTCAAGAAATATATATTAGATTAAGCAAGTCATTGATTATAAAGTAACTCAAATTGCATATAATTTGATGCATGCTAAGCTTAAATTAATCTAAGCAAAATATTTTGTGTGGCCCTTAGTACTAATCTATTAAACTCGACCTAGAGGTATATAGTTATTTTGGGGTGGGAGGGGATTAATTATTTTGTATAGACGTCGAACGTGATCTAAAGACTAATTAGAATGTGTCATTTTACCTCTTTGTTGTGTACCGTGTCTCGGTACTACTCAATAACGCTTGGTAATGGGATTCGGTACCGCTGACGTGGCTACACCTAATTCTTCTCCGGACGTAGAGCTCTACCGAGGCTCCGCACATAATAATTTCTCTCCTGAGAGGGACAACTATTTTAAAGTAAAATTTAAAATTTTAATATATATTATGGCCCATATGGGTGTTAAGCAAAAAATAAAAATAAAAAATATTGCACATTTGAATTTGACCAAACGAAAGACTTCTACAACTAAACAAAAATCTATTGGTGAAGATAAATTTAAAAACGGTGAGGAGAAAGGGACAAAAAGTCGTATCGCAACCAGCGACTTCCGACGCTGGATGTTTGGAGAGGTGCAGTGGGTCCCACAGATGCTTCTACGTGGATGCGACCCGGCAGCCCTTCGTAGTTTATTATCATGTTTGATTTCCAATCCTCCCGTTTTATCCACCGTCCATTGGACGTTAAGATTCGTGACAGTACGATAGAGCAAGTCTTCGTTTACGTTTATTTTATTTATATATATATATATATAAACATAATTTTATTTAGACAATAGTATATGTTGCAATTACATTATATATATATATATATATATATATATAAACGATGTGATTTTGATATCTGCTTCATTAAATATCAAAACGAAATTATAGAGATGTATTTATTAAAACCTAAGTGTTCGTATATAATTAACAAGGATATTAAGAGCTTACCTTGGCTCCATGCTTGTTATTTGTATCCTTCAACGGCTTCTTCTTCCTCCGAAGCCAATACCAGGAGAAGCAGCCTACACCTTTCTTTCTAACCTTTCCAATGGCAGTCGCTGGCTTCTCCAAGTCGCCGGACTCCGCCACGACAGACCCATTAAAGCAGCAGAATAGATAAGATGGCCTTCTCTGCTTGCCTTTGCGGGAGCTTTTCTTCAAGAACATCACAGGGTAGAGAAAGAGAAAAAGAGAGAGAGAGAGAGAGAATATATATATATATATATATATATATATAGAGATATAATGGTATGGTGAAATAAAAAATATAAGATGAGCTTTGATGCATTCAGAGCATATGCCTTTGAAACAACCAGTTGAAACCTTTCAAAATTGATTATTAAACTAGGGGAGAAAATTAAGAGTAGGAAAACCAAGTTAGGTGTCTTAGGTGAAGACACTTGGACTATAGTTAAAAATAAGAATTTTAAGAAAAGTTAAAAAAATTAATGATTTAATTTTTTCTTTGAGAAATGCTCAACAAATCTTTTAGAATATAGTTTTTTTGCATTATATAGAATATTATAATCATTGTGGGAGAAAATTTATTATATTAGCTTTGAATAAAAAGTTATATATACATTTAGAAAAGTAAAAAGAAAATACAACTAATATGGATCACATTATTTTTTAACATGAAAATTCTGAAAATGAAAAATCATAAATTATAAGCTAATTTAAATATTTTTTAGTGGTTATAGATTATAGATGCTTGTTCTTCCTTAATTGAAAGGTGTCATATTATAATGCAAAAGAATGAGACTATATTTGTGAATAGAGTCTAGAGATATTAATACGAATGTAATCTCATAGAGGCGAGGACAATTCATAGTTGTGAAGAAGAAAGTGGATTATATGATTTAGAATTTGTAGGAGATTAGAGATGATAACGAAAATATATCTCCTAAAAGGATGAGAAGAGGTAACATGATGCTCTTAGGTGACTAGAGATTATAAGGGAAATCCCTCTCTTAGAAGGAAAAAGAGCAATCTAGAATCAATAAGCTATTATAGGTTATTTGAGCAATCACTCACCTTAAAATAAATGGGAACTAAGAAGTTTGGTATTGGTTGTTAGCTAATGCATCATGATGATTGTAGTAATTTCCCATCCTTAATAGAGGGAGAGCTTATTATTAATAGTCAATTAAAGAAATTTGATGCATATTCTCTTCAAGAAAGAAATATATTGATTAAATGTTGATGTAATAATAAAGATAATCAAGATATCCATTTACTTAAAAGGATATGAAATTATGATACATTTATTTAATGATTAATAGATGTCGTTATGACAATCTCTTTCTTAGAAGGAAGAGAATTCAAGTGACTAGTAGCCAATGTGGGATTGGATTTAGTCTAGATAGACCATCCTTTGAAGGAGGGGCACTGAGCGACATGTAATCAACAAGCAATTGAAGAAGGTTGAGATAGCCCCTCTCTTAAAAGGAGAAGTACTATACAAAAAAGTTGGTACATATGAGACTAGAGACATTCATGGCAATTATTCTTTTAACAAAAAGGGGTATTAGGCATCATAGAGTTGAAATGATCACAAAGATTAAAGATGGATGTGACAATTTATGGACAAAATGATCAATCCCCCTAGAATGAAAGAGGTTGAGTGACATGGAGATATATTGTAATTGAATTAGTATCGCTTCTTCAAGGATAGGCAATTAGGTGGCCTAGAGTTGGTTGTTGAATAGAAAATGAGATATAATGAGTATGAAAGCCCAAGAAGAGGGTTAGGAATTTTTAGTTTATTTTTAAAATTTTATTAGAGCTTGGAGAAGGAAGCTTAAAATGAGGTATCAAAGATCAATCTAGACTAACATAAATTCAACAAACATATATGAGATATATAAGAAAAGTTTTATTTTCTAAAGATTTTCCTTGAGTGAAATATCCAATTTGAATAAGATTTATTTATTTGAATGTCTGAGGATTCCCAAAAGAGAAAGCTTATGAGGTTACATCCTCATAATATCTAAGACATTAACTTTTAGTTGAATAGCCACATTTATTTTCAAATTCTATTTAATATGATTTTAAATTGATTTGTGCTTGCAAGGATTATTGGGCTTATGAATGTTATGTATATTAGCGAGTAATCTAAAAAAAGAAAGACATGATATAATCTAGATTTCATGATTATATTCTCCTAGGTTGTTATATTCTCAATTGACTAGGCCAATAAGATAGTTGATCAAATTTGACCTACGATTCTATTATAATAATAATGAATTAAATAATATAAAGAAATAAAGAAACCTTATTGACCATGAGCTAAGGAAAAAAAACATAAATTCTTGGTATGCAATCAAAGTAAGGAAAGTAAATTTTACTCTTAAAACATAGAAGAAGATGCTTATATAAGATAAATAAAGGGTAATTTTGATGATTAGGAAAAAAATTCAAAAAAAATTAGCCTTATTGTTTTATTTAGATGAGAAATGTCTTATGTATAACAGCATCATGAAAATTATTTATGAGTGCATGAAATGTATAAATCATTTTGAGAGTTTTATAAATTAATCAAGTTATTAAGATAAACTCTTTGGAAAAGTATTGTTCCAGTTATTATGCAAATATATTTTTTTATTATGAAAAGTTTGTTACTAAAGCTTCAAATAAAATCCGCCATGATAATTACAGACAATTGATAAACAAGTGTTAATTTATACTTCCAAAGTTTGGTTTGGCCGGGTGCTTCATAGATATTTTTTTCCTAGAAGTTATTCTAAGATGATGAATTATTCGTAAAGAAGGTTTAATTCAAGAAGTGGTTCTAAGATGAAGAAGGTTGTGATTTCAAAGTGCATTTAATACAAGCTGGCTAATGAGGGAAATCAATTGGAAAATAGTAAATATGCATTATAATTTAACCAAAGTAATATATACACAATTATTTTGATGTACAAAAACTTGATAAGCACTACAGGAAATTAAATCCGTTATTACTGTTGGATTTTCCTGCTGATATATAAGAAAGAAGGTTGTTGTTGTTGTTTTTTTTTATGCAACATGTTTCCGATGAATTTTTCGTCAGAAACCCTGCCAATAATACGATACGATGACGTCTTCGGCAGAAATTTGTGCCGTTAATTCCGGTAAATATTACGACTGTAAACCACGTCGGTAATATTCAACGTTATTAGGCGACAGATTATCCACCGGTATTTCCGGCATATACTCTCCATCAAAAATGCCGGCGGATTATACGCCAGTATACAACGCCAAAAAAATGCCATCTTCCTCTATTTTTTCACAACGCGTGAATTACTGTCGGATTATTTTGGCTGGAAATTCGTCGTAAAGCTCATATTTTTGGCAGATTTCTACTGTTACCAACGGATATTGTCCGCCAGTAATAACGTATTTTCCTGTAGTGAAGTATAAGTTAAAAGATTTAGAGCTAATGTTGATCTTTTCATGGCTCTTGGGTCTGTTGAGGATGATCATACTTATATCTTGTACTTATTTTTATAACTTTTCTAATTATAAAGTATATTCACAAAAAAGTGCATAAGAGAGTATAATGTAGTACATATAGAATTTCTTATATTTTAATTTAACTTGGCACATCCTTATGCTAGTGTGGGTTTTCGAAAGAAAACTACTCACAGGTATTAGAATGCAAAGGAGATGATCACACTGTCTCATAGGACAAAATAATCGTAGATCTTTACATTCTATGCATGTAGACCAATAAAATAGCAGATAGAATCATACATATGATTTTCCATAAAAAATAGTGTCTTTTGCATATACATTTTGATAGATAATGATATTTATTTGATGTGGGTGTCAGTTTGCCACAAGCACGGCTGTAACAGCTAAAACTCATAAATATTGAGATATTATCCACTTTAGCCTAATGACTTCACAATTTTGTGTTATTAGTATAACTTACTACGATGTCACCCATCCTAATATTTCTTCGGGATGAGAATATTTAATTACAGAGTTTCTTAATAAAATTTTAATCATTACACTAAAAGGCACCTCGATGTTTAAGAGTTTTGCTTCATTTTACTTAAGGGATTTCACAACAAGCCCTTATGGTTAATTACATCTTATGTATTAATCTAAGAACACTCTCGATTAGGGATGATACCTTATTGTTTTTTTTTGTTTGGTGCATAGTGAGATTCTTAAGTTCTTCTAATTCAAAGAAGACATGCTCAACAAGCTATTCAACACACTCAAAGATCCTGCAATCATTTAGTCGATATGAGGGGAAGGAATCAAGATAGGGGACATCACATGTAAAGCATGTATGAGAGAAATATAGAAGGGGAGTCATCAATGTGACATAAATAAGTGGAATTTATAGCCTTTTAAGAATGAAAAGATCACCCAACAATAAGGTATGCATCAACACCCTGCTCTGTGCCACTTGGACAGCAGTGTTACTACTTACCTCACACTTGATCCCCTTCCACTTAATCAGCCTGTACCATACTCCAGCAAAGATCAAGTGTTCGTTGGTAATTAATGGTATCTCTCTTCCTATACAACATTATAATAACGTTTTGATACCAACACCCACTCATAAGATTTCCCTCAATCCCTTAATTCATGTTCCTAATCTAACTCACAGACTTCTCTCAAGCTCCAAACTCATACATGATAACAACTATCCATTGCCTTTGACAAATCTAGTTTTCATGTCAGGGATCAGACGACCAATCTAACACTTCTTCACGGACCATGTCATAATAATTTGAATCCAATTTCTCTCTGCTCAACTCCATCCACCATCATCGTTGCAGCAGCCAGCATTGATGCCCCATCTTCTGCTCAAACCTGGCACTGACGTTTGGTTCATGCCAACTTTAACATCCTTGCCTCTTTATCTAAGTTTTTTCATGCTTTATGTATTTCCCCTCACACTATATGTAGTTCTTGTTCCATTACAAAGAGTCAAAGGCTTCCTTTCTCTCCCTCTCACCATGTATCTCAAGCTCCATTAAACTTAATACACATCGATGTTTGGGGTCCTCCCCCTATTCTTTCTTATGATGGTTTTTTTCTTATGATGGTTTTCGATATTACTTGTTATTAAAAAATGACCACACACTACACTTGGCTTTATACTCTCAAACAAAAATATGATGTTTCTCAATCTATCATCCATTTTAAGAATCTTATTGAAAAATATC